CCAGGCCCGCAACCCCACTTAGACCATTTCCCAGATGCACAACTAACCGACCCAGAAACGTGAACAAGTTTAACAGCTTCAGCAAAACCACCCACTTTCACTCTAAATCTGCCAAAGCCATCGTTTTTGCTTCTGAAACAGACAGGGTCCGTGTTTAGCTTGAGCCAAAATTCTGTTTAATTAAAAAAAACAATTCAAGTCAATGTAAATAGTTTCGAAAACAGGCGATATGGTACGTAATAGTTTTGTAAAATCACTATAAAATCGTGATAAAGAAAGGAAACTCTGGCATCGACTTTACTGAACCTCAAGTACTAAACTTGTGATACATGGCAACTCACCAGAATCTGGGTTATCTGCGTATACTGAGGTGGGTTTTTCGACCAAATACTTGGCTCGGTAATACTTGGTATTGTTGTTAAACTGACAAGTTTTGTCGACAAGATCGTAGTTTAAACTTTGGCAAGATGACTGGGCGTTACAGGCAATGAAACATTCGGCGAGGCGATCTGCAGTGAATGATTTGTACACGTGATCAACGAGGGCAAAACCGTGTAACGAGCGACGCTCTCTACACGACTGGCGAGCGAAAATGTAGCAAAAAATCGTGACGAATAATATAACAGTAACTGCGGACGTTTTTTTGCCCATGTCACTATAAGAGTGCTCAAATGTATGTTTTTGATGTATGATAATATATCCTCAAGAAAAAAAAGGCACTTAAGTCTATCAAAGGCCTTCAGTAATGTAAAGGCACAGACTAGATCATCATGCTTGAATGGGAACCAATGGATTGACCCCATCAGCAATGCACGAAACTGGAAAAGAAAAAGTACAGTATAGGGGCTCTGCCATTTGGAACGTTCTCACAGTCAAGAATTATTAAGCTAAATGGGAGAATTAGTCTGGACGATTTTAAACAATACTTTCAGGAAGATTATCTAAGGACCAACAATGGCAAATAAGGATGACAATTATATTTTACTTTAAGCTTTACATATTTTAATGATCGCTTCTTGATTCTCTATGGCACAGTCAAGTTTACAGTTGAGGGTGCCAACTGTCATTATATACAGCCAGGGCAGCTATAAACAGGTGATGGGTCATTTCAAAAGCAACATATTTCTGCAATTTGCAATTGATCTTAAAAACGTCCTTACAGGCACGAAAAAAACTTAAAAATAGTATTCACAATTCAATAATAGCTTTACTTTACAATATTTACTTCAGAGAATCAACAAAAGCTAGCGGGTTTATCCCACAGCCAGCTTTGAAACAGATGGCAGTTACAATAAATATTGTTGCAGTAATTCTCAAGAGATACTATTCATCAAACAGTTAAAGATGACTTGTTTGTTCAACCGTGAACATAGTTTTAATCAACAAAATTATTTTCCTCTAGATAAAGGGTGATAACAAGACTTTTTAAATGAAACTTTAGCTTGAGAGGTGTGGCGGCTTCTTTAAAAAAGAGAAAAGGGACGAATAATCCAAAAATAGTAATAATGATAATATAGACTTAATGTCGCATCCCGAGGGAAACAGTTAGTTTTGTTTTACCGAGAGTCCTGATGTTTCCCGAGACGAAGACGAGGGAATCATCAGGACTCGAGGGAAAACAAAACTAACTGGTTTCCCGAGGGACCTGACATTAAGTGTTTTGTTATATTTCTACACTTTCACTTCAACAGCAACAAGCAAAATAACTTGAGCGAACCAAAACAGTCGATTCGCTGCTGTTTGTCTATTGGGATAACTTTAAAAAACGTTACTTTTTAGCTTGAGGCTTCGTGTTTGTGTTTTTGTGTTCTTTCAAGCAATTCACGAAAAAGAAAACTGGTAGTGTTTTTCCCGCCTTCTGCCACGCCACTTTCCACCATGTTTTGATCAAGCGTTTAAATCTGTAACAAACGTCATTATAACCAATGTGTTATTAGACCATGCTCACACGTGGTAGGAAGACATCCAAGGTGGTTTGAACCACGTTACCGCTCTCAACATCCCACGCTGAAGCTACCACATCTGTTCCTATAAAGTGTAAGCTGACTTCAATGTCTCGATCCAGTCCTTTCAAGGTGTCAGGAGATTGAAGAACAAGGTCCCCGATCTTCTTGACGCCAGGCTCTGTCACCAGCAGGACCTCTTGCATATCAGCAGTGTAGAATGAATATCTCATTTCCGTTTCATTTGCTTCACGAGGTCGGTAAGTAATAGCAATCTTCTGTCCAAGTTTTACGATGTCGTTCGTTTTCACAAAGCAGTTGAACAAGTCTTTGCACCTCTCTTGTCCCGAACTTGTTGTGAACTTATTTTCCTCTGGGTGAACTCTCCTGACAAACCTATAATGTTATTACAAGTGCAAGAAAGTTCAATTTGCACATAATTCTTTCTATTACATTGTATTTTAATAACAAGTAAACGCTGAAAAAAAGTTGAAATCCATTGACGGCTCGGTTGGGTTTGAAACGAGCGGCGCGCATCTTCTTCATGTGACGAAAACCAACAGAATACGACTTCAGTAATGTTCTTGGCCATGGAAAGTTGCTCTGATCTGAATAAAGACTAATTTCAATCCCATATATTACTAGCATACCACTGGCTGTTTTTGGTGACCTCTTATTCCTAAGGACACTTTGTAATGACTGTCAGAGATATCTGATAATTTCTGAATACTAATTTTCACGCCCAGGGGTAGGGGAACTTGAGTTGAAATGTTCCCTCAAGGCCATCAAACCCTGACCCTGTTGACACAAAAATCTTTCATTTCGCTACACTAAGAAAAGGCAGGAGACCTGATTTCTTGACCCTGATTCGTTTCGCATACAGAGTATGTTGCGATTAGATTTTTTTGGAAAAAGAAAAACTGTTGGTGTGGCACATGTAGATCGCTCATCGGCAACTTTCACACTTTTTAAAAGGTTTCCATACCAAAAAGACATCCTTTTCAAGACACTAAAAAGTGAAATGTTAGACCCTGATACCCTGAGAGCCATACACTGTTCAGCGGCAAATACCCGTACAGGCCAAATAAGGGATTATCCCCAGGCTTGCAAGCTATAGTAACGGGGGCAAATTGGAGCTATACTTTCGAGGCTATAACCAAGACTGTGCAATCAAAAACGGTCATTACAAACCTTAGTGAACAGTCGGTGCCATACGTTCTACTGACGACCCGTCTGCTTTCTGCAACTGCTCTCTTCCCCAGAATCACTGCACCGTGGACGACTGCGATACTGGCTCCCCTTGTAATGACATCTGAGAACCTTCCACTAAAAACATTTTTTATTTCTTTTTGAAGTAAAGGAGATTCTGAAAGACCTCCAATAAGAAACACTGTGGTACTGTGCGGCTTTTTCAACACGGTATCCCGTAAACAATCTTTTATGGCTTCTAACAATGGCTGAAAAAGGTTTCGCATAGCATGAGAACTGACGCTGAGATACTTGTCATCCACTATTTTAACTACTCCCTCAGCGAAGCACTTCATGGATGGAGAGCGGTAATCGTTCAGCCAGGATACGAAGCTACCAGTCAGGCGAATCTTGGTTTCATTTTTAAGGAAGGCACATTTCTTTGCCTCAAAGCCCTGCATCATTTTTAACCAATCAGCGGGGAATAATTTTCGATAATCGCACATCTTTTGGGTGTCGAACCGCTCGTCTAAAAGAGTCCTGAATTGACAATCTACCATTACCTCGTCATCAGGCCTGACAGTTTCGTTGTAGGACATATGCAAAACTCCATCACTGCTCTTCTCAAACACAGTTACTTTGAGACAGCTTCCTATGAAAGAATTTCTGAATTATTCCCAATCGCGCAACGAAAAAATTTATCAACCTCGTTCCCAAGGGTCCTCTCCTACTTGGCCCCTGAAGCGAGAGAGGACCCTGGGAACTAGGTTGAAAATGTATCAAAACACTTAAGGTATCTACCAGAAAGTGACATTTATTTTTCAACTATGCAGGCCCGCCGCAGTAGTTTTCTAGAAATCTAGTTAAGTATTTTGTACTTCTTTGGAAAGGATCCCTCCTTCTTTTATATCTCGACGTAGAAAAACCTCCAGCTAAATATAATAAAGGTAGCTCCTATCCAGAAGAAGAGGTCCTGATGCTGCTGATGTCCAAAGAAAAAATCGAATACCCCCTTCACATCATACATTTACAAAATGAAGGGTGTATCCTTGAGAAAGCACCAGTATAAAACTACACCGGCCTGGATTGTCTCCCATGCCTTTTTAATTGGCAAAATGTGGAGCCTGTGTTTGGTTTCAAGGACCTACAAGGACGTAACAAGTTAAGAAAAACATAAAAAATATTACCTCCCAAATCGACAATTACGCTCAGCGCATTTGGTTCTTCCGAGGGAGAGCAATCATTCTCTCTTGATTCTCCCAGTGCGAGATTGTCGGTCTGAGTCTCGCAATGCATTGTCTCTGAACAGAAAAGGGCAGCGGCTTCAGCATCGAAGGCAATAATAACCTGACCAGGGTTGTCACGTGATCCGAGACCGGCCTATTAGAAAAAAAGTGGGGCAGTATATATCAGACTTAAAATTGAAGCAACAAATGGATAAAGGTGGGGAAAGGAAGCCAAAACAAGGCGGGGCTTCATGAGGGTGGGGTGACAAATGTCAACTAAAAGGGACACTGATCTTGCCTCCATGAAGAATTAGAGAGCTTTAGATTCGAGGACGAGAACAAACACGAGGACTACAGTTAATTTTAATAAGTTACTGCGCTTATTTCTGTCTTGTCCCTCTCCCGATCGTTAAATGATAAAATTCCTAACAGTTGATAATTTGTTTTCGTCACTACGACATTCTCGCTAAAACTCGTAGTAGAACGACGATGGCTATCACATTTTCCCGCCAAAATGACGTTGGCTCGCGGGTGGGCACTACTTAGTATTGGGAAAATCTCGTTCTCGTCTTAGAATCTAAAGCTTTCTATTAAAAGCCTGCATGTTGAACAGTAGTGTGTGTGGCGCGACATTGCCCTAGGAGACTCGATTAAAATGACGATGATGATGAATTATGAGATTCAGTTGCATTTTTAATATTCATGATCTTCTGATAAAATCGAGATGTCCAGGAAATGGCCATAACCTATTCGGTCTGTTAGGGAGTTATAACTTGATCGTAGGAAGTGCCATTTATACGAGGAAAAATAAGACGCTTCTTACATAAGACGCGAACTGTAAGACGCGAACTTTCCGTATAAACGGCACATTTCGTCTAAAATAAGACGCGACTTAACTAAGACGCGTCTTATTTTAGAACAGCCCTTAGCACCTGTTCTTAGATAAGACGCGTCTTAGCTAAGACGAGAAAAACTTCCTATAAATGATCTATAAGACGCGAACGCATAGTACGCATGCGTTAATTTTTGGCGGGAAAATTATCGCTTGCCCCGAGGCGGACTGGCAGGCTACTGGCGGGGAAAAGTTGTTTACAAGCGTCTTTTCCGAAAATGATAAAATATTTCGTCAAGAAAAAAAATACTTTGAATAATGAAAGATATCTTGATTTACTGATTAGCATTCTTTCATATGACGAAATTTCAGCCTTCTGGCTGTGGGTGAAGACGTGAAATTAAAGTTTGTCGGCAGGTAGGTTAATTTGTCTTTCTTGAAGTTTGGATTTTTGCGGCACCGTAAATTATGTGGTCAAGTTTACTTAGCCTGCGAATAACTAAAACGCAACGGGAAGACTTGCCTTTTTGCAGAACAGGTTTTCAGATCAACTTATTTCTGCTGTTGGAAGCATATTGCTGTAGACGCTGAATTTTTTGCTTTATCTCCAAATTCCGCTTAGCGGTCCTTGGTCCGCGTCCTATGACCTTGGTTGAATAAAACTTTCCAAAGTAAAAAGCGACGACCTTTGTTTTTGAAGAATGTTTTGAAAGTCGTCCCTATACAGGTCTACAAGTTCTCTTTTTAAATACCTCGAGTACATACAGAGTTTTTGGTAATTATTTTCGACCGCGCTGAAAACCGCTCGTCGACGCTCCTGTGGGAGACTCGAGGAGACTGTTGTCTGAAGTCTTTGAAAGAAAAGGAGATTATTTTATGCTCACAGCATCTTCCGAAAAAAACTTTAGCTTAATTGCATCAAGAAAAGAAAAAAGTACAAGAAATACTGTGAAAACCACGTTTTCGTGTGGAAACTATAACATTTTTACGTTTTTATCGTGCTGCTTACCTGAGACGCGGGCCAAGGACCAGATTCGCGGACCAAGGACCATCGAAAACGGTCGCCTTTTTGCGAATTCCAAGCAAAATATTTATGTCTGGAACTTGAAACTTCAGGATTATCGACAGGAACATAAAAGCTATCTTCAGGGAGTATTTCAGCTCGTTACATGAAGATTCGGGTAAGATATTCAAGTTAATGACTTTTACACGCGGACCAAGGACCACATACTGTACAGGGCGTTTTCGTTTTCTTGTCTATTTTGCTTTATTTTTTTCTTCGCTCAATTAGAAAGAGCTCGTCGTTAAAGGCTAAAAGAAACACTTGGTCCATCGCGGAGGAAAAGGATTTCTTGTTATTATGTAAGGAGAAGGCGATAGCAGACCTCCTGGACAAATGCGTGACATCTGCTGGTGTGAGTAGACACTTTTTACTTTAAACTATCACAATTTATATGTACTAATCAAATTGCTATCTTCGTGTCATAAACTTACACTTAAAAAGTAAGTTCAGGTCATTCACATGAAAACGAGTTAAGAACAGAAATAAGACGCGAACCATTTATACGAGCTGTTTTCGTCTTAGATAAGACATGCTCGTATAAATGGTCCAGTTCGCGTCTTATTTAAGACGCGTCTTATGTACGTAAGACGCGTCTTATTTTTCCTCGTACAAATGGCCCATCTTCTTCACTCTTTCTCAGGAGATACACACCTCATAAGCTGCTTCGCGCATAAGCTGTTTTGCTGCTGGATTCCATGCTACAGAAACAGTTAACACCCATAGTATATCTTCCACGTTGTAATTCTCATTTCCAGACTTCTGTCGAATGACATTGACAGCTTCGTCCCTAAGAAATCGGATGCAATGTGCAAACACTGTTGTTGCTTTTACAGCTTTCCCATTGCACGCTTCGAGGCTTGTCCCGCCAGGGTTTAAAATCTAATCAAATACACGAAAAATAACATGTCAAGTACAAAAAAGAATGCCCTATTACATATAAAGAGACCATCTTAACAGCGGCTGGTAATCGAGCCTATTATTCCTTCGGTCGAGCGTTTTATACATGAGCCCCTGGCCCGGGAGACTGGGCGACCACTCCCCACGTCATCGGCGATAAATCAAGTTACTTACTTGAATTTAAAGACGGCCATAGATAGTATTTAATTTGACGAAATTCTGGATACCGTATTTACTCGATTGAACGCCTCCCTTAGAAAAAGCGTCACTCTCTATACTACGAAGCGTCTTACTCAGCAAAATCCCGAATAAAACGTCACCCTTGAGTAAACGCCGCAGCGAAAACGCTTGAAAAGTAATAAACGCCGCGGTGTTTAATCGAATGAATACGGTATGTGGGCTAACTCAAAACAGGACATAAATGTTTAACTATGGACGTTGTTAAGTAAATTTTTGTCATCTTTTTTCAATCGCTTTGCATTACAGTACATCCTTCAAGATTTGAAAATTCCATTCTTCATTCCAAACTTCATCTAACACACGACTTGTTACTACTTACGGGTGTCATGTCCTTTTACAAACGCTTTTTGAGCATTAAGGAAGGGAACGTACCTCGCCCTCGCCCAGACTGATCTTCAAATGTTCAAAGAATAGGAATTGTTTCCATGTATTGAACACATCTTTCACGTATGCGTATCTTTCTGCGGCTTTATACCCAAACGAGTCAAATGTCAGATCAGGTTTTAGCAGAAGGCATGAAGGCGTCTTGCTTGTTTGATAACCCAGGTCACTCTTCCATTCTGGGTTTAAGAAAATTGTGTCTTCACATTCATTATTGTTATAAGAAAATGCGAATCCACTGTGAGTTGTCCCCAAATCGATTCCAACGGTCGCTAGGAAAGGTCTCTCTTTGCCAAAAAGTAGGTTTTTCAGTCCTTGTAAAAAAAGGAAAGAATAAGGAGGCAACTTAATGTGATTACTGGTCACTTAAAAGATTTTGAACTTCATAATTCAATGCTAACCTACTACTCTAAATTAGGCGTTAATCGCCGACCAAAGACCTCAGTTCTCCGCTTGCGTTAACATTTTCCTCATCTGGAGATCTGAATCTTGTTCTTCGACATAAAAGATCACAGACATCATAAAGTGTTTCGTTCCCATCGCCACCTCTATGGAAAACGTGGATCTCGGGCAAAATGCGAAACGGGCAAAATAAATCCCTGATCCGGTATTAGGTTGTTCAGTGTGTTTAACTGCGACATAAGAAAAAGTTCACACGAAAGTTTAAATACCAGCAAGTCAAGAATTCAAAACAACGCTCACTCGCAATTAATGCATTTATTAATGAATGCCCCTTTATAACAAATAAACGATTAGTCTTAAATGGTAATCAATTTAAGAATAGGTTAAACTCATACCGCTTTTATATTTTGAATAAGAGAAATTCTTGCTGTTTTGGGGGCTTTTTCAGTTTTCATTTCCACAAATGGGTTGTGTGGGCGATGGAAAACGAAGCACTTTATGGGGGTGACCCCTACGATATACTGGACTGTACACGAAATTTGTTTGGAATCTACATTCGGTAACGAAATATCCCCAGCTTCCTCCTCAAGCGCTTCGTTTTCCAAGCCGAGCCGTAGGAGGCGAGCGCGAAACGAGAGTGACTGGTGACGATCGTCTTCAAGAGCACTCACAGGTTACGACACCCAAAGTTGAGTCACGCCATCTGAAACCCATTTCTGAGAAACGCCTTGTTCCGGCGACTGTTAATTCAGTTTCACTTTCCCTCTAACTCTCTCCATCACTGGGGTTCTCGCCAGATCTAGGAGAGATCTTGAGTTACACAGCCGAGTCAGCGACCTCGGTGGTTGGCTCACCCCTGCCCAACGTTCACCAGCTCTGTACAAGGCCGTGAAAGGAGGTATCGCACTTGCGTAAACATACAAACCTTTGAGTCCATTTCTTGCGGTCGAACCTCCACAAACGGCCACCTCGAGCTCTCTACAACGGCCATTTTTTTGGCGGACAGTCCATACATTCACTCTTCTTCAACCTCTCTTCAACGACCACCTTTCTACAATGGCCACTTGCTTCTGTCCCCACGATGGCCGTCCTTGAGAGGTTCAACAGTACTTCCCGAAAAGCTCTATAACACATTGTGGAGCAGCCTTTTCTCCAAAATATATATCAAGTCTCACTTTAGTCATCTTACCTGTCAACAAACCCGCCATGTTTTCTAAGTCTCAAAGCAAACCAAATTAAAGTGAAGAGAGCAAATCTTTGTAGACGACCGGTTGTCCGTGAACAAATATTAGTTTACCATATCTATTATCAAGAGAGGGTTTCCAAGAAACATACCTTGCTCTTGTTATTATTACTGACGTCATACTTATTTAAAATTATTGACATTTCACTCTTTACTGTGAAATCTTTATCTCCAGGAGCCAAAATGTCGCTACTTTAGAGTATAAATTTAGAGACAAAAAGGGGAAATACACTAAGATGAATGGCAAACAACAGCTTTTGATCGTTACTTAGTTGCTCCGGTTTTTCCGCGAAATATATAGATTTTTGTTATTTGCTGAAAACATTTTTACCATTAAACTAAGATAAATATTTTGCATTATTTTGGTGTTTTGTGTTAGGATTTCCTTTATCCTTTTACTGATTAAGTGGAGTGAAATGGATCCGAATGTGAAGCCACAGACCTTGGTAAATTCTATCCTGGAGTATAATGTTAGCTCTCATAACTTTGTTGACTTATCCTGTGCCAACATGCACAGCTGAGCGTAGCTTTTGCGGTATGAAGATGCTGCAAACTCCTTTACGAAGGACCATAACAGACGAGGGAGTAAGCTCTCTTGCAATTCTGCTCATACACAAGCACAAGGATGTACAGTGAAACCTGTATTAAGCAGACACCGTATTAAGCGGACACCCTCTATTAAGCGGACAGTAGCCGAAGTCCCCAAATTGATTTCCCTAATATTTACTTTAAATGAAACCTTTATTAAGTTGACACCTCTATTAAGCGGACGCGGACATCTACAAAAGTACATGAAAATGGTCATTTCTATTGTTTCCAACCTGTATTAAACGGACACTTGTAATTAAATTCCACCACCCAACATGCCAGACACCAGAAATGCGAAAGACTGCCACCCACAAATTTTTAAATTTTTACATTAAAATTAACATGACTTGACGAACTTATTTGATTAGTTTCACAGTACAGTATTGTTTTCTATTTCGTTTTGTTTGTATGGAGCTTGTTTCACTCATTTGATTTCTTCAAATTTGAGTTGCAATCTATGTTTATGGTACTTTGTTCAATTGGTCCACTTAAATAAAGAAATTAATGCAAACATATATCATCATAGTCGCTGGGAGTATTCTAAACATTTCCACTGTTCATTTGAATGACATTTGACACCTCATATGACGTTATCTATCGAAACCTCTATTAGGCAGACACCCTGTATCATGCAGACACTACAGCATTCCCCGAGGGTGTCCACCTAATACAGGTTTCACTGTATCAAAAAAAGACTGAAATCTTGTTTCAGTACAGAACCGTTAGAAGTAAAACAAAAACTATATACATTCAGTACACAATAATTACAGTCGATTCCCGATAACTCGAACCTTCAAGGGAAATGGAAAAAGGTTCGAGTTATCGGGAGTTCAAGTTACCGGGAGTTCGAAGAAAATAGCCAAGAGAAGGGTAAAAAACAGTTTTTACTGCACAGTGAACATTTTAATCACATTTAATAGTAGAAATGTCAAGTGAAAATTAAAAGATACTTTTAGATTATAAATCAGAACGTAATGTAATAAAACATAGCCTAAATAGAGCATGCCTTTTACGTATACTGTTTTGAGAAGAAAAGCTGCTTCACGTTAGCCTGTGACATTCAACATTAGCCTCCACTAGTAAACTATACTCCTACAACACGTCAATAGGAAATCCAAAATTCAATGTTTTGGACGCCAGTAGACAGCTTTTTTCCCGACTTTTTAAGGGCTCAAAACATCGTTCGAGTTATCGAGGGTAAAATTATATAGAAAATGACCTGAAGGGAAACGAAAATTGGTTCGAGTTAGCGGGAGTTCGAGTTATCGAGGGTTCGAGTTACCGACTAGGGTAAAATCACAGTGAATGTATGACGGAAATCCAGGGGAAATCGATTTTAGTTCGAGTTAGTGCGAAGTTCGAGTTAGCGAGGGTTCGAGTTATCGGGAGTCGACTGTATATTTACAATGGGTATGTACACAGTTCACCACTATACTCGTCACGACCTATAGTTACTGTACAAACTTTAAATAGAATGTATCCTTTACATTACATTGTTTATGGACTGTGCAGAAAGTAAAGCACTTGTTCATCTAACTGAGTGTCAATTCCTTCTCTGACTAAAAAACTTTTATCAGGACCGGCGTTTTCCTGGGACCAGACAACATGTACAATTTACAATGAACAGTTGAAGTGATTCTAAGATTTTTAAAGTTTTTGATACTTGTATGACTATGCACAGGGTCTTTGGTTACTGCCTGAGACAATTAAGGAAACATGATTGACGCCTGTCAATGAGAAACATTGACTGGGTCGAACATGACTCATGAGTCATTGTCCACAGAACAAAAAAACTCCAGTTCCTTAGGAAAATGGCTCTCCTGGTTTGTACATTCAGTTACGTGAAATACCTGACAATGTAGCTAAGTTCGATGGAAAAAGTAATGGNAGTTCGAGTTATCAAGGGTTCGAGTTACCGAGGGTAAAATCACAGTGAATGTATGATGGAAATCCAGGGGAAATCGATTTTGGTTCGAGTTAGCGAGGGTTCGAGTTATCGAGAGTCGACTGTATATTTACAATGGGTATGTACACAGTTCACCACTATACTCGCCACGACCTATAGTTACTGTACAAACTTTAAATAGAATGTATCCTTTACATTACATTGTTTATGGACTGTGCAGAAAGTAAAGCACTTGTTCATCTAAATGAGTGTCAATTCCCTCTCTGACTAAAAAACTTTTGTCAGGACCGGCATTTTCCTGGGACCAGACAACATGTACAATTTACAATGAACAGTTGAAGTGATTCTAAGATCTTTAAAGTTTTTGATACTTGTATGACTATGCACAGGGTCTTTGGTTACCGCCTGAGACAATTAAGGAAACATGATTGACGCCTGTCAATGAGAAACATTGACTGGGTCGGACATGACTCATGAGTCATTGTCCACAGAACAAAAAAACTCCAGTTCCTTAGGAAAATGGCTCTCCTGGTTTGTACATTCAGTTACGTGAAATACCTGACAATGTAGCTAAGTTCGATGGAAAAAGTAATGGCCACTAACAGTCTGATTAACTCTAAAATATTCCACTGTTCTTTGTAATACTGCACAGAAATGCTTTCACTGATGATCTCAGTCAGGTAAATATCAGTTTTTCCACCAGCTACCAGTATCAGCCTATCCCACGGACAGCCCTTACTAGGTATGTGAGGTGCTGCAGTGAAGCAGGAATTCCTATGATCAGTTGGTGTTCCTGTGGCGAAGACATTTATGTCTATCTGATGACGTCTGGCCTGTAACCAACATTCTCATCCCAGCCCTTCCTGCATGTTTTCAAAATCCATTCATGTTCATCATCATCTAACAATGAGCAAATAAATTACAACTGAGTACATGCATTAACTAACACAGGGCAATAACAACTGGGAAACTTTATAAGGTTTAGGTGCTGGGCATGTACTGCTGAGACCAAGGAACCCAATAGCCTACACCTCACCATATTTACATGCATATTGCAACTCTGTTCTACACATCACCTGTCATGGCAACAAAAATTCTGATTTCTACACATTTTTATGACCAATTTCAAGTTTTATAGTTCTCCTGTAAATGGTAATTTAGCCAACCCCACCCCAAGGAACAAAATTCACTTTTGTAGTATTATATGTATCCAAAGCCTTAGAGCCTTCTTGATACTTTAAGAAGCAAAAAAAGATAGATGAAAGTTCGGGACGTAGGGTGGGTATTAGGATGAGAGTACAAAATTTGGTAAGAAGGGAGAGCCAGACTGTTTCTCACAAAATCTTTTTTGCCCTTTTTGACTCATCCGTTTTGCACTAACATTGTATAGTTATGCCTTGCTCTACTTACTGTATTTACAAATTCTAGTGCTTGGGTTCCCCCAGAATTGCAGTGCCAATAAAATGTGCCAAAAGCAAGCTGTCAGCAGCATCTACTCAATATCAACTGAAAATTGGCCACCAAAATATTTCTGCACTTTAGGGTATGGTCCTAAGATAAAAATTTTAATTTTTGTTTTGCACATGTACCTGCATTTCTGAGGAATTTGTGCTCATAATCAACGATAACTCTGGAAACAGGATTATAGAAGCCATCACCACAGTCATAACAACCTTCAGGAATCTCACGAGGAGGAATACGGTTTGTGAGTTGAGAGCGACCTGCAAAAAAAGACAAGTTTATTTCAAGAAACTGATTCAGCATTGTTTGTTTCTTTTGTTGGCCATATTGTCGCAGTGGTCATATTAACAAGGTCGCTGAATAAGGATTGACAGTTCAGACATTTGCACAGGCCAGAGAAAAATTGTCAAAATCATCAGGTGGTCTGGCAGCTTACATTCCAAGTAAATTCATAATTACATCCGGGATTTTTAAAAGTCCATATAAAGTACTTGGGATATACACTGAAATCAATCCAGTGACTCAGGCAAGACAGCTGCTCTATCTTATATCGATTTTGTTTAAAGTTATGACACTCAGACTATTAATTATTATGGTGTGTAAAAAGGATCATAAACCGTACCTGCAGGCTTAAGTCCATGACATATCTCAGTATAGAATCGCCTGTCATAACCATCACAATATTCCCAGTCCTCTGCATCATACTCTAAACCATCTGCAAATGTGTATTTTCCCTGCCAAAGTGAAAGAAAATTATACATTGCATGTGAGATATGGAGACTGGGGTCAGAAATAGGGATTATATATAATTTTACAGCCTCCCATTACAACGCTTTTCCCGATAAATCATCATTTGGTCTCACCCTTTAAAAGAGATTAAGCCCTACAAGACTGTGACAGTGGAAAAAAAGGTAATTTTCTTATCTTTTGATTTACTTCTTGTTTTGAACTGTTAACCAACCAGACAGTCTTAAATGGAGAAACATGTATCTGCATGTTTAACTCTACAATGTACCAAACAGGCAGCAAGTGATGGTAAAGCAAGTTACTAAGATAGTCAGAGATTTTTTCTGAAGTTTAGGAGTTAAATTAATTTACCTCTACTGCTAGTCCTTTTTCCCATTTCCCAACGTACTTGCTTCCATTTGAGAAGAATAATGTTCCTTCACCATGAAACCTTCAATGAGTTTTTAGAAATGACATTACATTAATTCTATTTTTGTGGTAAGTTTAAAGAGGATCATGTATCTACTTTATTTTTATTACAACAACTCTTATGCTTATTGAACTGACAATGCTTAAAATAGGCTCTTGATAACTGAATGACAGTTAGATGATTTGTACCTATATATTGAATTCAATGAGGTAAGATTTGACCTTTCTCCACGATACCAGCTGAAAGACTAGGGTATATTAATTTAAATTGCTGCTTGTTTTATAATTTTACAAGGGTTCATTATAGGCTATGCGCTACTTTAAGGGAAAAAGGGATTCAAATCTATTGATGCTCACTGTAACTTTCAATACGTTGAAGATAAAATCTGTTTTCAGGTTAAGAGTGTATTCAGCCTGGTTTGATTCAGAATTCTCTTTGTTTCCCACCCCTAAATACTCTTTGTAAGAGATAATGAAATTCTGGTTTGACTTGAATGGATTTTATCCACAAATATATATACTGGCTCAAGTCAAGTGCCTTTAACTTTCATTTTCTCATCACTTCAGGGAGAATATAACCAAATGAAATGTTGTCAGTTTGTCAAACAAGAGATGGACTTTCATGTGTAGGTGTTAAAATTATTTTTCAATATTGATAACCCATTAAAAAAGCAATATCACCCCAAAAGGAAAAAATTTGGTTAATTGTGTCTGTTTCTAAAAACATCCTAAGGTTACTTTTGGACTCGTGCATTAAATCACGAAATAATGATAAAATGACGTCAAACGGACACACTTTATGACGTCACTGTAACCAATCCTTTAACGTCAATCCATTCTAATTGACTCCTACAGCTTCCTCTAGCTCTAACTGGGATTCCCCCGGGAATGAGGTCAAGAACAACTATATTTATCTAAAAGCTGCATATTTTGAAGCTTCGGTTAGCTTAAAGAGAAATTAACCTTGCAGCTACAAAAGATCGTACATGTCGCTTAAAACAATTTTATGCTACCATTATTTTCTGTCTGTTTCCGACATAACATATAATTTCTACACATCAAGCAACAAAATGCATTTGCTTACATTCCATCTTTCATTTCGCCGACATATTTTGTTTCGAGCGAAGGTGGCAAGTGGTATTCGGCTTGTCCTTCCATTCTATTAACGACGAAAACAGACGATGCAATATAATCAAAACTGTGCGTGTGATTAATAACTCAAACTGAATGCTCTTCTTACCGTCCATTTTTTAAATCTCCCTCGTGACTGCTTCCCGTGTATTCCATTTTGTATGAAGAGAGCTTCTGCTCTCAGGTACATGTATGTTCTGCTCGGTACCCTTCTGCTCCAGTTCTACTGAATTCAAGATGGCGGAATGTTACAGTATACGTTACTATGACAACATTTCGAGTCCTTGAGGTTTTATTTCAGCGGTATTGCACATCATCATAATGAAAATTCTAATATTGGTACTCGCGGTCCATTCTTGCACTTTCCGGGTCAATTGCGCATGTAAATCAAGCGAGTTTTCCATTTTCGGCTGGTTCTTTTGAATAATTTTTCGTTTCTCCGATTGCCGGCTACCTTGAAAGATCTCTTTTTTTACAAGGGTGAACTCGCTTGGATTCAATATGGCGGACATGTCCATGGTAGAGATTTTAAAAACTTGGCACGAAGGTGTTTCTCTTATGGAAAAAGGAAATTTTCAGGACGCTCTAATGAATTTTATTGCGTTAGAGGGAAGAACTGACTCGTCGCAAACTTTAATCACTTCAGGAAGAAATCTTTTCAACATTGGTCAGACGTACCGCGCGCTTGGAAACCTTGACAGGGCTGCAAAGGTATTGAACTGTCTGTGACAGTCATTTCGTGACTTTTTGGTAGAATACTTATATAGAACCTTTAATCATGTCACGATATTTTGATTTCAATAGAGTCTCCGTTTAAAAAGTTAAGCTTATATCTTTGTAGCCTGATGGGTTTTATTTACTCCCTTGGAATTGCAAACAAAGTACAAGAATGAATGGAAAGTTTTGATAACTTTTTATATCCATTTTTGTTGTGGCATGATTGTTTATTTGCGAAGGTGGAGGGATTAAGCCTACCCGCACTTAAGAAACAAATAAATATATAATAAACAAGAAGATAATGATTAAAATCAATATAACATAACATGTTATGTTAAAAAATGCATATATAATATATATATATATATATATATATATATATGTATAAATTTGATAGGAATAACAAGAATAAACAGATCAATAAACAAGAACGTTTTTTCTGTATAACTAAAACAGGGTCTTACCACAGAAACATTTGAAAAATTTACTTAAAAGTAGTCAAATTTTGAAATTTAAAAAAAAGAGAAAAATAGGTGGTAAAATTCCAACATGTTTATTTTGCATTTTTATATCAGTGATCTGCATTTGTAAGGTTCTAGACCAGGACTGTCTTAGATACTTCCATTTCACTATCTGTACTTTTGTTTTGCCCTGCTGTCTTGATTAAGTAAGGTCTTCACCGGTATCCATTTACATTGCATGTTTTGCATGGTGGGAATGTTGACATGGATATATGAGGATTAGTGATTGTCTGAAATTCACTGGTCCTATTCAGGCCTAGGTTCACCTGGATGATCATGCTCAACCTACTTATTTTATGTGTTGCCTAATTTGGACTGCAGAGCTCGACATTGCGACCTGTGGCCAATGTGACCAGCTTTTACTCAGTGGCGACTAAATTTTCATGCCTGGTCACCAACCTGGCCCCCAACATAGGTGACTTTCTTCTCTGGGAAAACATACACTAATGATAATCTGTTATCCTTTACAAAACTAACAGATAGCTTGGGGTTTTTGTAACTCTCTAACGTTTTGCCCAAACGCTCTAACAGTTTGTCCAAACCCTCTAATGATTTTTCTAAACGCTTTAACAATTTCTTCTAATACTCTAACGGATTGTTCTTATGATCTAACAGTTGGTCCATCTAACGTTTAACTTTTACTTGAAAGAGGCTTGTGAAGATCACTAGTAATGAATTCGACAGAAGTCTTATCGACTTTCGGGCAAATCCATGGCAATTCTTAAATATAATTTTTGGCGACTAGAATACCAGTTCTGGCGCCCAAAAATGAAAACTTGGGGGTGGCTGGCCCCAAGATTTTTTTCTGAAAGTCCAGCACTGGACTGGCCAGCCAAGATTAGCTCTAGCTACCTGCGGGCCAGTGCACTTTTGTAAAACTTGATTATAAGGAAAATAAAAATTATTCTTGTTGTTGTTGTTTGAAATAGAAGCTTTTTCCAATATATTTTGAAATTAAATGTGGAAACAAATTATATGTTGAAACATTATGTTTTCTATTTTAATAAGCATTTTAAATATTCTATGCTCTCTGTGAATTTTGTAATAAATTCCAGGCATTTGAAGAGTCAGTGGATAAGGACAAGATGCTCGCAGTTGGTCATTTTATGCTGGGGAATGTCAGTCTAGCTTTGAACAGGTAATTTATTTGCCAGTGCTCTGATTTTAGAGATCATCATGATCATCAATCATCACCATCATATCTCTGCAACACTGAAGGCCCATCACACTGTTTTCTAGCCCCCCCCCCCCCCCCCCCCACCCTCTCCCTTCCTAATTACGGGGATTTGAAGAGTCCGTGGGAAAGGAAAAGGTGGTCCCAGTTGGTCTTTTTTTTCTGGGGAAAGTCAGGTTAGCTTTGTACAGGGAAATTTTTTGCCAGTGCTCTGTTTTTAGAAATCATCATGATCATCAAACACCCCCATCATATCTCCGCAACACTGAAAGGCCCTCCCCCCGTTTTTTAACCCCCCCCCCCCCCCCCACAGCTTGTTCATTTTAGGGCCCTGTATACTTTCGAAACAAAGGGCCTGGAGGGAAAACGTCCTGAGTGGCTCTTCAGCTCATGTAAAATCCAGCCTTTTTTACAAGCAAATCATGAAGCAATTTGGTAGGAGAATGGGGCAGTTTATAAGAGATCACTCTGTTATTTGGTCAGATCAATATTATTGATTATGATTATGATTATATGTGGTTGAGGTAATTTTCAAGCATAGAAATCATACCTTGCTGTGAAAGCATTTGAGGAGAATCAAAGCCTTTTATGTGTGCAGGTTAACATGTACTTACCATGGAATCTCTGTAGATGCAGGCTCATTATGAGCTCTGATTTTGGCATATTCTCAATTTTTTGTTCCAAAGAAAAGTAGTTTCACTTATTCCATGACAATTGAATCACAATATTTTTTAATAATAATAGTACCAAAAGTTAAGTGATTATATATAACTTTCTATTATGTGACTTACGTTTTCCTCTTATGTCCAGGAATGAAGATGCATTGGAGAGCTTCAATAATGCTAATTTCTATCTTCGTGGTAACAAACTGATTAATTACCAGCAACTTGGGTTGAAATACAAACTATACTTGTGTGAGGTAAAATAATAAACAGTTATCCCTTGGAATGAATGTACATTATACTGTCAGGCAACTTGTTTTCAGGATCTTTCATCTTTTGGTTTTTACAGCTTCAGCTTCTTACATATTTGTGAGAAAATGGTTCAATACTTTCCTCATGATAGCAATTTTCCTTGCTTCTCTTAACGAATGTTTAAGAAGTCTGAGGAGGTCAAAAAAAGGTTACAATAACTAACCTATTTCTTGTCTGCTTATATTTGTTAAGAGCTATTGTCTGTGAGAATGTACAGTCTTGTAGACTACAGAAAGTAAATTATTTGCAATTTGTCTTTTTCTGTTTCTCATGTGTTAGAAATGGACATTAAAAACTTTCAATGTTCTTGTAATTAACAAATAGACAACAATTTTCCATTGTCCATACTCTTATAGAAATGATGTCAAAATCGCCAAAACTTTGTGACGGAAGTTTAATTATTTTTGTCCTAGTTGAACACTTTAAGCCCTTGAATGAAACCTTTCTTGTTGACAGATTTTGGCCAACAGAGCCATCTCACATGCCAGGCTAGGTCATGTCCAGGAAGCCAGAGATGATTTTTTAAATGCACTACAGTCTAAGGTGGAGGCGCGGCATTGTATTATTGAAGATTCTCTTCTGTGTTGGCAGGTACACTGTAGACGTTTTTTAAAATTGTTTCAAAAACTGTAAAATTGTAGTTGTAAACGAAGGTGCTTGAAAGGAATTTTGCAGGTGCAAATAAAGAGAAGCAAAGAACATAAAGGTAGAAAGGATCACTCGGCTTAAAAACAAGATCAAATTTCCAATTTGGCCCTTTGACACTTCTTAGTAGTGGCTACGAACAGGTCCAATTTAATTCCAAAAAAATCTCAATTTCATTTCCAAGATCCCCCAAAATAAAATTCTACTGTGCAAAAGTACCCTTTTTTTAAAAGTACCTTTAAAGAGACAGTCTTCATTTGAATGGTTACACCCCAACCCACTCCTCCTCAGCCCCTGGAGTGAGAGAGAGAAATGGAGCCAAGTAGGAAAGGACACTGGGAATGACGTTGGGTCACGCCCCAGGATTTCTTTGTAAAATACTAGGAAAAAAATATTTTAGTGTAAAAGTTATACTTACTCCTGGTTCTTTTTTGTCATGAACAGGCTGGAGAGAATGTAGAACCTTTACAGGTGCCGTCACATGCAGTCTTTCAGCCACCAAGAAAACAAGTTGAAGCCATCAAAGATAATCCCAATTTCTTAGGAAAATCAAAGGTACAGGTGTAAGTTAGAGAAACAAGCTGACACCTTTTAGTTTTTCAATATAACTTTGTTCTATTTATTAAATTTAGATTAAGGTCTGGAAGGCTGGGGGATCCTGAGGGGTAATCCCTATAATGCCCTATATGGGGAAATTCCGCCTGAAAGAGGTGCCTTTTTTAGTCTTCTGGTCAGTATGAAAGGGTAGGGATTTGTGTTGCAGTGTACGAAAAGGAAGAGAAAACTGTCATTTCGGGCGTAAAAAGGCCCAAAGGGGCTAACAGATGCATTTATGGCTGTGAAAGAGAGAAAAAAATTCCTGATTTAGTGATTTAATCATATTGAAAAGAAGGTGCATTTACAGCAGTTATAGTGGATGCAAAGTTCTAAACTAGGTAACTATGTGAAAGGGGTACCATTTGTCAGTAGGGGGTTTACAAAAGAGGTACAAGAATGGTATACTGTATAATAGGGTAAGGGATTGGACTGTCCCCATATAAAAGTTCTTAAGAGTACCCCCGGTAAAAGAGTAAGAAGAAAAAAAAGAAGAAAAAGAAAGGCAATGAGAGGCATGTTTATTTTCTTGTTCTTTCAGGTTGTTGCTGCCCATGAACCCTCTAAGTTTCCTGAAACAAGGAGCAAGGTAAGTACTGTCACGCAACAGATTAATGCATACATGAATGTGTGACAAACGAACCCCAAAGGACGTCTGCAGGGAGGCTAACATCATGTATGATAATTTTTTGCACAGCGCTCGGGTAATTGTCCCAACTTCCTAGTGTCTTGTCGACTTTACTTAGTAGTAGGAGAAACTGTGCTTTTTTTATGATGCAGACACCCCCAAAAGAAAAACAATATGAACTATTTTAAGTGACACATTTTTATCAATTAACTTTTGGGTAATTTTGATTTTATTTCCTTTCTTCAGCCCCCTGCCTCTCCGTCTTCCCCCAGAAAAATTGAAGATGAACAACCTCCAACGGTAGATGGAAAAGTAAGTTTGCAAATTATCGCGTGTGTACACTGATTTTGCATTTACTTTTGGAGAGGGAATAGCCTCTCCTATGTGCTCCCTGCGAAATAAAGTGTGAGCTGTTTGCAGGACAAGACAGTACATTCTCTTCAGTTACATCAATACCGGAAGTAAAAATTGATGCAGTCCCAGGGATTGAACTTGTAACCTTTGCTCTTCAGGCCAGCCCTTGATCAAAGGAGCTAACCCTACGGCGGTTTAAATTACATGTCTTGTTTAATCTGCCTGTGCTTCGTAAGTGAAACCCCCGGGGGCACTTAAGGTAAGTTAGGGTAGGGGTGTGCCGCGTTGCCTGCGAACTGCAGACGTATTTCCGGAGGGAGAGAAGCGACGACCGGAAATACGTCTGCAGTTCGCAGGCTATGTGCCGCCGAACCACAAAGTAAAAATTATGGAATTAGATTTTTTGGAAAATATTTGCGGTTCCACAAATCGAAACCGCTCATTTCAAGACTTTAAACAGTGAAACTGTATAACTCTGTTTAAGACTCAACAACCTGAAAACCATACCCTGTTCAGAAGCACATACCTGTCATGGCCAAATAAAGGAGTGCCCCTCCCCTACCCCCGCTCGGGAGTAAAACTAGATTGAACGACTGGGAAAGTAGATACAGGGTGGCAAAGGGGTGGGGGTTGGGGGTATCTATCACGCATCACGCCGCTTTTTTAAAGCTATCTCGCATCACGGAAAAATGAAATTAAAAATTAACTACATTAACATTTACAAGTGTGCCATTATCAGTTGATCTGACAAAATCAGAGGTGGAGGAAAGAGAAAAAAAAGGCAAGAGGTTGGTGCCATCTATTTCTAATGTTTCTGCTTCAAGTTTCAAATGATATTAACCTTTGCGGAAACTTCAAAGGAAAATCACGCGTCACGCATTGTGAAAATAGTAAATCACGCATGAGGCCGCTACGCCTAATCACGCCTGACGGGGCGAATTTGGGCCCTATCACGCATCACACTGATAACTTGTGACCCATCACGCGTCACGGAAAACCCCTTTGCTACCCTGTAGATATTGTTAGGGTATTGATATACGGGATTTTAGATATAAAACGAGCCGTATCCTTTCTAACGAGTCTAAGAGACAGCATATTGTTAGCTCCACCATTACTTTGAGTGAGATGTTTAATTATGTCTTGTTACAATACTTCTCTATTGCTCACAGAAGGTAATTTTCTTCGTGTTGTTCTTAGGCGACAGGGAGAAGGGCTTTGATGAACGCTTTACGTGACGGTAACACTCGCAAATCTCTCAAACGTGTCTCCACTCCGCCAGAGCCGCCAAACAAGCCCGTCCCTACCCCCCTAGAACCCCCCAACAGGCCGCTACCGATCCTCCCTGAAAGACCAAGTAGCCCCCGTCGTCCTCCACCTTCGCCTCGGTCCCAGCACAAACTGAGTTACTCTCCAACGCCTATGATGGGCAGTGACTCTCGATCACCATTGACTCGAAGGCGGGTTGTTAGCGCTCCACCAGGTAGCCCTGGTACAGAGAAACGCTCGTCTGTTGGTTTAACCCCTCCTGATAAGCCGTTACCCCCTGCTCCTAAAAAGAGTCCGCTTCCACGTCGTAAAATATCCGAACCAGTGCAGTTTCGCAAGGGCCGTGACGCCACCGTGACCGTTCAGTTGGTTCTTACACGCTCCATTAAAGTTGATGAAGCGGCTTCTACCCAAGACCTGGTTCGTGCCNATATAAAACGAGCCGTATCCTTTCTAACGAGTCTAAGAGACAGCATATTGTTAGCTCCACCATTACTTTGAGTGAGATGTTTAATTATGTCTTGTTACAATACTTCTCTATTGCTCACAGAAGGTAATTTTCTTCGTGTTGTTCTTAGGCGACAGGGAGAAGGGCTTTGATGAACGCTTTACGTGACGGTAACACTCGCAAATCTCTCAAACGTGTCTCCACTCCGCCAGAGCCGCCAAACAAGCCCGTCCCTACCCCCCTAGAACCCCCCAACAGGCCGCTACCGATCCTCCCTGAAAGACCAAGTAGCCCCCGTCGTCCTCCACCTTCGCCTCGGTCCCAGCACAAACTGAGTTACTCTCCAACGCCTATGATGGGCAGTGACTCTCGATCACCATTGACTCGAAGGCGGGTTGTTAGCGCTCCACCAGGTAGCCCTGGTACAGAGAAACGCTCGTCTGTTGGTTTAACCCCTCCTGATAAGCCGTTACCCCCTGCTCCTAAAAAGAGTCCGCTTCCACGTCGTAAAATATCCGAACCAGTGCAGTTTCGCAAGGGCCGTGACGCCACCGTGACCGTTCAGTTGGTTCTTACACGCTCCATTAAAGTTGATGAAGCGGCTTCTACCCAAGACCTGGTTCGTGCCGCGGCCAGTACTTTTAGGCTTTCTGAGGATTCGTTTGCATTGTGGTAAGGCGATTTCTATTTTTGATTAACCCACCTTCCCCCCTTGCAATTAAGAGGAACTGAAGTGTACAATTTTAGCAGTTACTCGTTCTATATATCTTGACATTATCATGCTATGACTGAAACTCTTATCTAGCCTGAGCTAAAAACAGCAAAAGGCCTAGCAAACATTTCGCGAAGCCACCTCTTGATTTGCCGTGGGCAGAAATTCAATACTGATGACTTGTCACTACCCAGATCTGGGTAGTGCTACTGATTGGTCGTGCCGCGTGGGAAATTTGCCTCAGCCGATCAGGAGCACTTCCCAGATCTGGGTAGCAACGCGTCATCAGATTGGAATTACTGCGCCCGTTCCTCAGACGTCATTTCGCGGGGAAACCAGTGATGTTGTCGCAAATTGTTGGCTGTTTTCTCGGGGCTAACTCTTATCAGGTTTTAAGCCCTAAGGTGCCGTACGGTGGTGGAAGTATTTAAGGTGTAAATTGCGCCAGCAAGAAATTTTATTTTTCCTATTTATTATTCTAGGTGTATGAGAAATGGCCAGCTTTCTGCCCTTCAAGATAAAGATCTAGAGGGAATTCTTAACTCCCCAGCAAACAACATGGAAACTATTTACTGCTACGAAAATAAACCTCAGTAATGTTTTGATAACTAATTTACTTACAGGAAACTATTAAGTAATTTTTCTACTTGGTAATGTAACGCTGTGAACCGCGCATTTTTCTGTTTTTTTTTTTGTGTGTGAATCGTTCTTGGTAATGACTTGGTTAGAGCGGGGTCAGTTGAGTGTCGAAACTAACATTATGATGGCGTTAATAGGCCATTGCCATGTTCCCATGCCTCTTCAAGAAAACTGTAAGTGTGAAGTCTTTACAAAAAAAAATTAACTGAGTTGTCATGCAAATGAAACTCGTTTTTAAACGAAAGATTTACAACTTGGTCTCACTTTGAAAGCGAGAGTTTTGGAAACTCGGAAATGGCCTACTTTGTCAGCCAATCAGTGACCAATCAAACTACTACTTTGACTACTTTGTTAGCCAATCAAAATCCAATTGTGACTTGCTGAGTCGGATTTTCCCGCAATAGGACAATTGCACGATGACGATATTTGACTACAACTACCAGAATTCATTTCGGTTTTGCTTTGTTATTTAAATTTGTCAATCCCGCTGAGGATTAACGAACAATAGTCATAATTTGCACAAGAAAACAACAAACTCAAGGATTCTGGTAGTTGTAGTAAAATGACGTCATCGTGCAATTGTCCTATTGGTGCTGGCTTGGAAGTCAGTTTGGTTCGTTCAATTGTCTGTGCGCATCCTGATTGGTCGAGGTAATTCCTTTTATTGGGCAATACTCAAGTGAATATTGCTGTAATACAGAGCTAGGTTTCTTTAAATAATTTACTTTTCGTCTTTATCTTTCGCGTCAGCGAAAAAAAAAAAATTGTTGGTGTTGTTTAGATTTAATAAGGGTAATACAGTCAACTCTTTCTAAGACGGACAACTTGGGGACCTGCAGTATGAGCAGAGAGATGTCCGTCTTATAGAGAGTCAAATAAAGGTAGAAAAGAAAGACAGGGACCAACTCTAGGTGTCCGTTTTACAGAGGTGTCCGTCTTATAGAGGTGTCCGGTAAGAGAGAGTAGACTGTGGATGGTAAAGAAAATAAGACAGAGAAATCACCGACGTACATTCTAATTATTTTATTAGCGGAAATGCCTTTTAGTTCGCATTGTTTCGAATTTAGCCAATTTTGTGTATCACTGTGGTTTCGAGACAAGAAACATTCCATGAAGTTTTGCATAGCATATTGTTTTGAATGTTACTCTTGATCTTTTTTGTAATGTTCCTGTGAGAGACGTGTCGAATCTTTGTAAGAAACTTTAATACTCAAGTAAACTAAGTTTTGCCTTCAGTCTTAGCACATTTGGTGATTCCATAAACTGCGAGAATAAAAGGCATTAGAATATATTATTTTTCTACGATTTTAGTGCAAAATAATTCTAGAAAATCGTAAAAAAACGGGAAGTTCTTCTCAATAGTTTTCATACAGTTGGATGTTATTGTTTTGAATATTTAATGGGCAGCGTAAGAGGTCAATAACGCAGGCGCGGACCGCTGCTTCAAAACATTCTCGACTTCAGAGTTGTATTGCGTAATACTGAGGACGGAAACTAAGGCTACGCGCGCGTGTGCAGTTTTCTTCCATAACCTTCGCGGTACTTCATGGCCAAAAAGCCGAAAGCTCTGGGGTCGAAAATGTTCTTAGAAGAACTTGATTTTATCGGGTTATTTATTTGAGAATGAGAATACATATTGTATCATGTCGTTGTATGCAGCGTACGAGTGTCAAAGGTCATTGCCCATTTGCGTCCATACTGAGATTTGTAGAAGTGTAAGGCCTGTTTTGAAGGTCTGTTATTTTTGTAAACGAATTAATTAATACAAGTATTTTGCAGTAAAACAGTAGTGCAGTGGTTGATCTATTGTGTTCCTACTTATCTGACAGGCTTTTGGCCATAGAAAATTTGTTACACTGTAAATAGTCGCTCTGTTTGAGAGCTGTGTACTGTTTAGCGGTTGGATGTCCACTTAAACACACACGATTACTTCTAAACTCAAGAATTAATATGGAACACGTTCCCACAGTCCTTTTCAGCTCTGCGGCGTATGAAGGTGCTAATGATGTACATAATTATGTAAACACTACAAGCTGATAGTCGTTTGGTTGTTTCAATCGTGAAGCCGTTCTATTGGACGCTGTATTGGACGCAAGTTAAAGGGCATTCATCAATTACAATCGTGTTAACTTCAAAGATATCGATCATGTTTGCTTAAGAGAATTTCGGTATTATAGCAGTGGTATCTTGGATTAGATAGTTCATCAAGTGAAGACTAGAACATGCGGAGGGAAAAAAACACTGTCTCTTTTACTTTTCAAGTATTTTAATACTGTTTTTACCATTTTCACATTTTTTAGGTAAGAGAAAGTAATACTGTTAAAAGACAAAAGAGGAGATGGTTCAGAGATGAAAAGTAATTTATAGAATGATAAACGCTGGGAGCGGATTTAGGAATCTCAGAAACACTAAGTATTCAAAACAATTTGGGCAAGAATGCAGCCTCGGCCCATAGCCACAACAAACTTGGAAAAAAAAAAAACCTAATGTATAAAAATCACAGCCAAAGGGGATGCCCCTGGCATAATCCACCTATGAATGAATGCAGATAAGAGAGGATTATTATTATTATTATTATTATTACTATTATTACTAGGGTTGCTTTTATTATGTAAGTTATCATTAATGCTCTCTTAAAACACGACATGTCCGATCTAGATAGGAAAGAGTCCCGACATGCATCATGGTCACTAGAAAAGGGGTCTTCACTTGAAACTCATTCTACGTGTGCTTACTTAAAATATTTTTCTTTTGTTTGTATTTTTTTGGAACTGCATGTCTTTGTTAAGAAAAATAATACGTGCCACTGAGCCACTGATATTTAAAGAGTCGAGTTGCAAAACTAACTCAATTAATACATGTAAAAATCATCAATGAACGTCTGGCATCACCTGCATGTTCTTCACTAAAAACTGCAAGCTCATTGGACGTTAATTCTTATCGAACTAGTAAAATTAAATAATCGCTTTGGACAATCATTTGTAGCCTGTGGTAGAACACTTCGACCCAACAGTCGCTATTTTGTACCAAAAGGAATTCTTCTCTAGTACTTCATTTACAGCCGGTTTTTTAAGTCTACACGTTCTCTTAAAAGTGGAATTCTTGGGCGGCTCTATCATGTCGCGGTGAAGGCTTCAAGATACCCAGACTCCCCTCTGTCATATGGACTCGTACGTGCTGGTTCAGTAAGGCCGCGCTCGCGAATGCACTTGCACAGTAGCCGCACCGGAAAGGTCTCTCATTGACGTGTGTTTCCATGTGATTGCGGTATTCAAATGGATGAGCAAAGGACTGGCTACACTGAGTGCACGTTAAATTCTTCCCGCTGCTTATACCATTACACTGATGCACCTCAAGTTGTTCGCGGTTTGTGAATGCCTTAAAACACTGATTACATCTCCATGTGAAGTCATCTGCTGGATCAAATCTTGACGACGTTCGCGTTTGTTGTTTGTATCCGTATCCTCTTCCTCGATACGAGGTCGGTCGTCTGTCCTCCCTTAAGACTCCGTGGTCGTTATCCGGTTTGATTGGCTCAGATTCAGTCCTCCTCAAAGGTGGGCGACCCCTTTGTGCTGGCGCATGATCTGTGAAGTTTCTTCGCACCGCTGATTCAAATGACTCGTTTTTATCAGCCCTTGCACGTGACCTCTCTTGTGCAACGAGATCTCGTGGTGGATGTACACCTTTTCGTATATAAATAAATAAATAAAAAACAGTTTATCAGTTGGTTCAGTAGAAACGCCGACAGATCAGTTTGAGAAATGAAGAATTTTAATCCAAATCTGTGACAAAATTGACAGTTGTTGCTTTATAAAATTCTTTATTTTATTCTGAGGAAAGCTAATTAAAGAGAAAGAAAGGATTGTCTCTAAGTCTTAAGCCCAAGCAAAGGCTCTTTCCTGCTTTAATCTTGAGTGAAATAAAACTCATAAACACGGCGAAGTAAATCTTTTATCAAATATGTGGTGTGTCTAAGTACTAGTTTGCCTACTGGGCTTATCTTTTATCATGACTTATTTTGTTGAAGATGATTATGAAATTAAATTTTGGAGCAAATAACTATATTTTTAACATTTCTGAGAACATCCTTACCTCTACTTCCCGAGTCACTGAGTGCCACAGGCACCCCCATAAACTGTGAGTATCTGGTATCGTACCACACAAGTAGCTCTTGCCCCGGAAGGATCTCCCTGATTGTCCTGTAGTATACACAGCCATGGTACTGGAACACCACCATGTTCTGTTCTTTCTTGTGCCGAGCGCATCGAACAAATCGCATCCAACTGGAATTAGCTTCGTCCTTTCCGTCGAGGTAATGACTGACTTGACCATCGTGGAAGACCTGGGATGGAAAGAAAATGTTACAATTTGCTGTGATCTCTGAGGGAACTTTGCTGATTCTGATCGGTCCCGGCGGAACCCACTGACATACACCCACTGACTCGAGTTTCTTAGGTGCAATTACCACTTGTGTCGTATTAATTGTTGCTCGGCAACCTTGCTTATGATCAAGTGCGACTATAAATCGCAGAAAACTTGAGATATTAAGCAGCACAGTCAAATCTCCTTGATACAAGCGCGCACCAAAACGACAACGCCACGTGTTCGCGTTACAAAAGTGTCCGTTTTATATATAGACGTAAGGACTGCATGTCTAACTTACTTTGGGATCAAGAGAGCTTTGCATAATATAGAGGTATCCGTTCTATGTTGGTCTTCGTAGAGAACGTTTCGACCGTTTTTCTCTGGACACAGCCCTAGACCTTATAGTTTATGCCGAGACGAGCTGATTCTAGGCTATTCACGCGTAGTGTTTTATATGTACTTAAAATCGACGTTCCTACCTCCCACATGTATTCCGTCTCGGTTTCAACTTTGATGTCTTCGGGGCGTACCAGTTTACCCTCGTATGGCCCGATCCAGGTGCCCGCAGGAATCCGTTTTCTGGCGCACACTCCGTAACCAACGCAAGGAATACTGGAAGTGCACAAGCAAACCTCATCCGGGAATTTGAGAATAGAGCCGTTTTCCAAAGGACTATGGGACTGGCCGGCGTTTACCAGTTTTCTTAAAGAGTGTAAAGGACCGTGCATTGGACATTCTCCATCGTGTTTCTCGTTGCAAATATCGCACCCTAAAAAGCAAATAATAATGATAATGATATTTTTGGTCATATCAACAGCGGCCGGGTCATGAGCAATCGACGAGATCAAGAAGTATGAAAGTCATTGTGTATGCCGATATGCTTTGGTTGAAATTTCTGCCGCAAGAACTACTCCTTCTGCTAGTAGTGGTTTGAAGTGAATTTTCGAAGAAGGCGAAGGTCTGCTTCAGTCCTTTTTAGTGGTAGCCAGTAGGATGTTAGACAAAGGCCAATTTTTTGTTTGTACCAAATCTAGAGGAAATCTTCTCTATAAGAGTAAAGACACTTAGCAATACAAATTTGAGAGCGTCAAGGCTTATCGAAAGGCAAAAGTCCTCACGGTTGGCGTGCGTCGCTCAAAAACCGCGCCTTAAGTTTGCTTAACAAACACCTGACAAAACTTGAAAACGTTTGCCTGTCTTTTGTAGGTAAAATTCTTTACTTCGCCCTTATCTGCATGGAAAAAGAACACAATTACTTTAAACCCATGTGTAAAGTAACTATAACCTACTGATGTGTATTGAAAGTTGAATCGTTTTCGATCCGAATTGAAAACGTGACTTTCAAACTGTTTGAAACTCGGCATTCCTAAAGCACCCGTTGACAGTAGGTGTTTTCCAAACTTGTTATTTTTCTATTTCAGGAAATGTCAGCCCATCTTAGCAGGTTGTTTGCCTTGTAAGTGATTGAGAAACAACTTTTAGTGGACAAATAATCATTTCTTGTTCTACACCTTCTTTCATATATGAACGAAAGGTAATTTAGACATTTCACATGATTTTGTCATTCATGAAACAAAAAATTTATTTGGTCTCCAAGTAGCAAAAAGGAATTCCATTTTTCTTATTTACTTAGTTTTTAGTTCTCTTTTGATTTTTTTACTTCTGGTCGATTTCAACCAAAAAAGTATTATTTTGGCACGTACAGAGTTCCTTAACTGACTGTCAAGTTTTTAGTGTAATTTGCACCTCGTAAAAAATAAATAATTAATAAGACTTTGAAACAATGTTCACTCAATGAAACAATGTGGTTTAGTTTTTGCCTTGCACTCTTGGGCTATTTTACAGCACTAAAGGAATTAAAAAGAATATGGTTTCCACGATTAAAATGATGAACATTGAATTGTAAAAAAAAGTCACAGCGGAACCGGCAGGAATTAGAGAAAGTATTACGATAAAGCTCATTAGAGAGTAAAGTTTAGTTGTGTTTATATTCGCGGAAAATCACTTTAGCTCAAATTAAGAAAGAATCGATTACCGTACAAAAGGAGATTGCCCAGCACTTAATCAAAACAAGGAGAAAATCAGATATACTTCGTTAAAGGCTCAAAACAGGTAAATCTGTAGGATTTATAAGCATTCTCTCTTGGTGGTTGATATTGATGTATAGAGCATGTGCATCAGCCAGGGCCGCACGTGGTAACTGACTTTTCATAAATAACTTCTTCTCGATTCTTCAGAGTTCAGATATTGCTCGCATTTTTTACCTTGAAACAGTTAAAAACAGTTGCCAACACCTGACAAGTCTTTCCCTTAGCTTCAAGCATGGCGAGTTTATTTTCATTAATTAGGAGACAGTGAAATCATAAAGAGTTAAAAGCTAATGTCTTGTTTGTTTAAAACCACTTACGTGTAAAAACCGCCAGAGAGTAGTAATATTTTACGCTGGAAAGAGGAAATGCCACATAAGCTGCTAACCAAACCGCAGTTTCATAATTAACATTAACGACATGGAAAGTCACTCAGTCAACGACAAGTTCTGGAAATTGTAAATATTTAAATTTCTTTCAAAGTGCAACCGCAGAATTTCAACTTAAACTCACTACAACCACTAGCTTCACTTCGGCTACTCTGCTACTTATTATTTAAGCAGTATTTTCACAACCCACGATGAAATCAGTAACAAGCAATATATTTGTAACTTCTACGCGGAATAAAAATAATTAATATAAGCTACTTACAAGACATCGTCTGTTTGTTGGTCGCTCCATTTTCCACTTGCCGTCGAAGTAGTTGTATGGGGTCAACAAGACGGATGGGTGTATAGCCATACAAGTAATTGAACAGATCCTCGGCGGTAAACTTATTTTGCTGCGTTGAAGATGTTGGAGTAGAAGGTTTTTGGACTTGAGCAGGAGATTTACTCTCCGCGGCTGGAACTACTCGCTCCAACGTAGCGAAGGTTGCCATAAATTTTAATTCCTGAATACTGAGCTGGCGAAAAAAAAAAACGGGATATAGCGCCTTCGTGAGTTGCTTTTTCTGTAACTTTCTTGTTATTCAAGGAAGTTTAACAAGCAAGGACATATGAAAAATAGAAGACGATATCAATAAATTATTGCCCTGCTCTCTCTCTCTATCCACTGTCTCTGCCAGGTGCCCCATTCTTGTCCATATACAAATGACAGAACTTGGAAAGGAAATTATTCATGGCTTGTCAAATGAAGCGTTCACAGGCACCTGTTTCAAGTTTTGAAAAATTGATGAGGGCTAAATAATTTTTTGGCGGTAAAACAAGCAACTTTCCTTTGTGAACACAGGTCAACGAGCTAAGTTTTATTTTTTTCCTGCACGACCGATACGGTCAAGGTTATCAACCAGAAGGAGGAACTAACTTATGTTCTTGGATTTGTTCTCGTAAAAAAGTGCAATATAATTTATTTGCATCTTGTTTCGGTGGTTAATTGCTGATCGCCAGCTACATTGAACTGTCAAGTGCAATAAAAGCGATACGGCTTGTCATGGTCTCGGACCGGCATTCAGTTAACAAGCGGACATAAACCTGCTGTCACTTTTCAGCGGAAGGGCGCCCTGACAAAACTCTACTTTGAATCGAAGTCCAGCATCAACGACACATTTTAATATTTTATTTCGATAATTTTAGTTTAAAAAAAAAGGGAAGAGAGAATTACTGAAAATGACTCCACTTGAATGTCTCCAATTTGTAAGTATTAGCTTGGCCTGCAGACTTGCACTGGATAGTGGTGGTGTCCCCACACCTCAAGAAGAGCAAAGTTAACTTAAATCGTGATCTATTCAACAGCATATATACCAATAAACTATATTCGTTTTATGCACTTGCCACTCGTCTAAAATTTCAAGGTAGAGATTAAAACTTAAGATCTGTATATAATCTTCAAATACTTAGAACCTGAACATAAAAGGTCTGAAATCCTGTCTAGCTGTGTCTTATTTTTAGTAGGTTTTGATGCGACAGAAAAATGAGATAACTTCACCGAAAATACCGCGAGGAATTGGAAAACATGGTGGAAGTTAATTTTACTAAAATTCTTTTTTGTTATTAAAAGGGATGCAATAACTTGAAATTAACTTTCAGAACCTAGTGTGTCATGGAGTTGCTGACATTTATCAGAAGCTCCATCTCTCGATAACACAAAATGTTCCTTAAAAAAATCGCACTGCATTATTTGATTATTACACTATCCTTACTAATATCAGTATGATAAGAACTCGAATTTGAATCTGGCGATTCTCACCTGTGGAACTGGTGAAGTAAGGTTCTTATATAGCAAAGTGTAATGCACTGTGCGCTTAAATGTAATCGCAAGATGAACGTGTCTGTTTCGCAAATGTCGTCTAAAAAATCAACACGCCTTTCCTGACACAATATTTGTCATAAACCAAGAACAAGACATTTAAAGCACGTGTTATGTCTTATTTGACAAGCACGTGTCAAATGTGAGGGAGCCAGAGACGAGTTTGAAATGATATACGGTGTGATTATACAAAACAGGTTAATAGTCCATGGCATTTTTTTTATGTTGAAAGCTGGCTAAAAAAAATTTCCAAGAAACTGACCTTTTCGACACTCTGTCAAGAATACTTTATCCACTCACGGTTTTGTGAAGATATAGGAGACTCTTGCGTTAAATCTCTTAGGTTACTTTTTACTTTAAGCATGTCCCTGTTAAAACTTCCTGGCGTGAGGCAAAAGCGAGATAGAAAAGCTTGTGAAAAGCTTGAGATATAAATAATTGATGTCAGCCTGGGTTAAGTGACAGCAGATTCAATCAATATGAAATTTCAATAATTAATTTTGTGTTTTCAAAATAGCTTCAATTGTTTGCTAAAGAAAATGATGAAAAATTCATCACATGTCAAGACACAATTCATAATTTATTTCACTGGCATTTTATGGCAGTAAAATTTCACCATGCATTAATTCTCACTGAAATACTTGGCTAAGTTCAGTAAGTTATTGACGAGATCACTTATACCAACACTGTAGAAATAGTTTATCACAGTACAGTATACAATAATACTGTGGCAGATCTAACGCACATAACAGAACATATTGTTGGCTGTAAGTTCTTCAAATATATAAAACCTAACAAATAAATGTGCTTTTCTAATCTGACACGATTTGAAGAAAAAAAAATTCCAAGACAATTGAAGATGACTATTTAGTAGCTGTACTCTTTAAGTTTTGTTCGCTTATTTCGCCGAGAGACATTTAAGATAAACATTTTTTCAGTAGTGAAAAAGCAATATATTGTTATTTATCGATAATGTCCCATGACGGACATTAAATGTCGGAAGTAGGTTTAAGTTACTGCAACTCTAGAAAAAAAATTCATTGTTAAGGTGTGCCGGGCACGTTTTTGAGGAGAAAGTTTCAGCTTTGGGTGGCTTTTCTTAAACGATGCACTATTTGTTTATTCGCAGGAGTGTGAAAACCTTTTAGGCAGGTTGACAATGCATGTTTAATTTTTCATAAGGGCTGTCTCGTTCAATGTTAGATGTCTTTAATTGAGATCGTTGAAATCCAAACAGACTGAGAAGTGAGTTTGTGGAAGTTACGAAATGACGGCAAAACACGAATTAGAATGAAGATAATTTAGCATCAAAAGTCATCTGTTAATATATTATTGACCGGAGCAATTTTAGAATACCAGATCCAATTTAAAAAAACAAATCTACATGCTCCCGCTGTCCCCTGAGTCACCAAATTTTAGTTACCAAAACAGTGAGTTAGGAACAAGAAATAACCTGACAGGCGGGTGTTTATTTCTTAAGTCATCCCGGCCCTCCCACAGTTTCCAGCTCCCTTGGTTGTTAAGATCCACAGTCCCACAGTTCAGCAGTCCTGCAGTCCCGAGGTGGAAGGTGCATTCGGGACTTCGGAGTTTGCGGGAAGTTTTTACGAAGAATAATATTAAGTGGCCGAGTTGTGAAATTCAGCCAATGCTTGACATGTGGGGAAATTAAGGGGGACGTACTGACAGTCTTGTTTTCCATACCAACAATCTACAAATTACTTAGTGTCCTGCAAAACTGGAAAATTGCTTCTCTGATATAGAGGCAAGAAATATCCAGAACACACATTCAGTTCTAAATTTACTCTTAAAACCCTCCATGACGTAAATTCTAGAGATATTTTACAATTAAAATTGTCGCATAGCTATTTTCATTAATATAAGGCTTTTACCTTAACCGCTTGGGAAGAAAACTTGGTTTTATCCATAGACTTTAGAGTTTATTTTCGTGCATGAAGCACGATGCATTGGCGGAAGAGTCTTCCATGCACGATCGTCAACCTGGGATTAATCATCGAAAACTTTGAAAAACACCCTCTGAAATTTTCTTGAGTTAGCCTGGCCTTGTGAAATGTTACTCCACAGTTTGATTCTAACGTTGAATATTAGACTTTCAAAAAGTCCTTCGTCGGATTTCATATGGCGCGGGACGAAGGACTTTTCATACTTGATTGGCGCCAATTTTACCGACCCAAAAACGGGTCGGTGCCATTGAAGTCAAGGACTCGCAAATGAAACCTGAAACCCCAAATGCGAGTCACGCCTCCCCATTTTTGGCGGGAAAGGCAAATGCAAACCCTTCACGCGAGACAAGTCGACCTCTCGCGACTTCGTCGCTCGCGGTCGACCGCTTCGCGGCCAAAAAAGGCTCGCTCCGCTCGCCAAGAGGTCGACTTGTAGCAAGTCTAGTTGAATATCGGCGTTAGCAAAAACCAGATAATGCCACATTCAGTCGAATGTTTTTGTACAGACGTTTCTTAGCCGGTTAGCTATTTCTGTACCTGCATTCACCTTTTCACGTCAGGAAATAGAAAAAATTGAAGTCTTAAATGGTGCAGAGTGCAGGCGTGTCATTTATCTGCTGAGGGGGGTGGGGAGGGGCAGAGGGTACGTTAGATTGTTGCGAGTAAGTCGGGAAGTTCTCAAACTCAGTCTACAAATGGCCTCTGCGATGAAACGATTTGGGTTCAATTCTTGAAAGTCATTAATCTGTAAAGATGTTCAAGATTATGTCCACATAATTCCATGAAACTATGTACAGTCGAACCCGGCTTACGGCTGTCTTGTTTGGCGGCCAAGCAGCCAGTCCATATATCAACTTTTCTAAAAAAATCTCTTTACAAAGGCCACCTCTAAACAAGGCAAACGCGTGCTCGCATGAGTGCCTTCCAACTGACAAAGACCATTTTGTAAGTGACCAATGTGTACGTACTCACTGCTCCTATTTTTGCCTTGTTTTGTTAAAATTTTGTGTTCTTATCATTTGGTTTCTGTTATTTTTTTTGACATTCTAATTGTGTTGCTTATGCTGTGACAGGCGCTTTCAAAAGTAAATGTAATGCCAGGAGCCTCCTGGTAATGCGCTGTTTTTCCCTTAAAACGGCTGTCACACTACGCCCCTTCCGACTGAATATGATAATTTCTATTTCTACATTTTCTTAGTAGATTTAAGTTGCATCGATGGTATTTTTTTACTTGTACATGTTATGAATAAGTCGTCGATGAATGCTTGGTATTGGTAAATAACTAATTTCCTCAGAACCAGAGAGCTCCTGCTTTATAAGTTTATATCATTATTATTATGCGCTCGGTTTTTTTTAATCATTATTTTGTGTTATAAGCTTGATAAAAAAATATAATTTCAAAATTTTTTGCAGTTAACTGAATATTGAGCGCATAATCAGTATTATCATTTTGAAATACATACTCACACTTTAAGGTTTTTTTTTTGAAGCTTTACGTAAATTATGAGAGGTTAATTATATTTTAGTTGCCAAAACTTTTAAGCCTTTGTAATTTTAAGTTTTTTGACCGACACTACGTCCCGGCTTCAAAAATGACCTGACGACTTTTCTGTATTAACGTTATCGTTAAATTATGGATCAGTATTAAGTGATTGTCAATCGACACCAAATGTGATCACAGTCAAAATAGCAGTCAATTACTGAAGTAGAACAAACTGGACTCGTGTTGTTCACGATTTTTTAAATTGAAAAAATGATAGTTGAACTCAGCTGATCCAAGGTGATGTAATACGCTAGGTGATTGGAATATTAAGCCACCGCAGCCGTGAAGTTATCAGTATCCCGAGGCTTTTTCGTATTGGGTATGTACTCATGAGCTGTCCGTACTCATGATTAGTTACTTGATTTGATTGTAAAATAAAGATTTTCAAGACAATAGCACCATATTGTTTCCTATCTCATATTAGTTGTCATTTTCCCTAATAAATCTAGTATTATTCGATACCTTCTTCGATTTTTCCAACCAAATTTCTTTTTCCTATGCCGGCGGCAAAAAGTTTTATACTGCGGATACGTATCCCGGCTTTTCCTGCGAAATCTGCGAACAAAGAATTTTTACCCACGACTCAAGACTCGCAGCAATTTTTTTTGATCTGTGGAAGCTCTAATATAATTCGTTTACTGTGTACGCAGTAATGATTTGGACTGAGTGACCTATCATCAAAATTCACTACTGCGTTCTCTTTAATTAATTCTCTGCTCATTAATGATAACGAACTTTAAAATAATTCCTTGCGCTAAAAAATTGTAAAGCCCCCGTAAATGTTTAAGTGCCTAGAAAGTGAGAAAAAATTGAATTTGACCTTGTATGGGTATATTTAGTTGGTTTTTCACTTTAAATCACTGTTTCCTTTTAACGTCTCCAAAATATCAAGACACGAAGTTTAAGGTAAACTGACGCGAACATACCTTTAAAGTGCTTTAGAATCCAAGCTCTGATAAGTTTTAAACCGCCTCAGGTCATGGCGTTCACGACTGATCACTTGCTTTCATAATGAGTTACTGATCTGCTGTTCTTGAAGTTGTTTCCATCTGACTTTTTTGAAAACTGCGATGGCTTTTGTGGTTCCATTGTTTTCCTTTGAAGGTAAGAGTTTCCATTACACAATACTTCCAATCAATACCAAAGCAGGGCTCAAGAATAAATGAGCTTCTTACTAGCTTTGAAAATAATAGCACAACCGTCCGAGAAAACACGGTCATGGTTTTGGTTGACGGCTTTACAACAGAACTGCAACCCGCTATAGAGCGGGTTATTAGCTGGTGGCGCCGGTAGCGAACAAATCTTCAAACTTTTGTTTTGGAATAAATTGGGTTCAAATATTAAACTTACCAAATTTTGGTCTTGTCTACATGCTAAGATTTTGGGAGCTTCGGATCAAGTGATAAGAAACTGGTCTTGGGTCGAGACATCAGAACAAATCGACAATGAAGTGAATCAAGGCCAGGTAAGAAAATAATTGATTTTGTGGGTGAGTTCAGATGATCATAGAGCTGTTCATATTGAATCAATCGAAGTATGTGCTTGAATTTTAAACTTTGTGGCTAAAGACGATTTGTAGTTAATCACCGGCTTGTTTTCGAATCCTGTTATGCCATTCCTTAGAGCCATCCAGTAATCAAATAGCAGGCAGTTATTGACGACACTATACTGAACGATTCAGTGGGTGGTATGGCGGGGCCTGTCAGTGATGAGTGTCGGGATAGAACTATTACAATACTAAGGTCTATATTCAACTGAAGGCCATTCTTATCTTATACCCCATTGAGGCTCTGTTGAGAGGCGTGGCCCGTCATGACTGGTCAGTGAGTACTAACGTAAGTTCAGTGGTTGTCATTTGAATGGCAACAGCGTTGGATTTATCCTCAGTCTAGGAAATGGAATCATTTTTTTCAATCAGCCCAACTAAACTAACCCACTCTAACGATACATTGTGATAGCACAGCATACACCCCATCTAAGGATATTTTCATTTACTAAACACACGTAATCAAAGAGAATAACACTAATGATATACAGAATAATGCAGAACAATAATTTTTTTTCGGGGGAGGGGGGTGGGTAGCTTACTCTTGGGTCTACTGAGGCGCAACTTAATTGGAAGCTCATATACTTCAGTACGCTGTCTTGTTATTGTTTTGTCGACAACAGATCTTGGTACGACATACTAAAAGAAGAATCTATACTCGTCCCAGTCGGGGTACACAACGAGCTAACCTAACAGTCGAGCTCACATTCACTAAAGCTTTTTAAAACTTAAACCGTGTGATACAATTGGCGTGTTTTTTTGATGTTAAGATTTTACTCCCTTTGACAGTCATGATTACATCGACTTTTCTATTGGTGGTGATACTACCTGTAAGCTATGGATTGGACAACTATACAGTCGGTAAGTCAGGTATCACTAAGTAGAAGTAAGCTCACTTGCAGCCTGAAGAGAACATGTGATCTTTTCACTGAATGTGCCAGTAGAACCTCGATAACTGGACCTCGGATAACTCGAATTCCCCATTAACTCAAACTGTTTATCGTTTCCCTTCAGACTTGAGTTACCGGGGTTCTCTTGTATTTGATTTTTTATCATGTCAGCTCATGAGAGAAAAGGACTTTAAGAAAAATCATGTGAAAATGATACTGTCAGTGTGATTCAACGTCTAAGCCGGTCTCAGTTTAATGTTGAACAATTAACAAATGAATATAGAACAATATCAGGATTTAATCCTGAGGTACTGTTTGTCTTTCTGTTAACTAGCAGGTTTGAATGTAAAACCATTGTGAGCACCACAATGCTTTAAAATGAACTTTAAGTCAGTCCCAGTTGCGAAAACTGTGGAAAGCCAACCAAATTCATCAGTAATACAACACAGGCCTTATTGTGTAATTTCAGGCCAGACTTGCTGGACAAATTGCACCAAACCATGTGGCGGAGGAACCCAAGTCACGTGTGCAAGTTACATTGTGGTAACGAGAGCCTGCAATACAATGCGGTGTCCAGGTGAGCGGCTTGTTTATTGGTTAATATTTTTGTTTGTTATGAGCTATTTTATGTGGAGCAAGTCAAATAAATAGAAAATTACAGAAAAGCGGTTTTGTGGTATTGACCATTGTTTCAATTTAGGCAACTTAGGCCCGGATCAAATCAAACTTTGCATGAGCGGCCGAACCTTATGTTGGGGCCGTCTGGAAGAGTATTCCCGAGATCCGGGATTTGACCAAAATACATTGCGGGATTCGGGAAAAATTAAATGGGATACGGGATTTAAGCAAAATACATTGCGGGATTCGGGAAACATTAAATGGGATACGGGATTTAAGCAAAATACATTGCGGGATTCGGGAAACGTTAAATGGAATCTGGATTTGACCAAAATAACAGTGCGGGATTCGGGAAACGTTAAACGGGATACGGAATTTGACCAAAATACAGTGCAGGATGCTGAATTGAGAAAGAAAACGATATTTGGGATGGCGATGACAGTCGCACTTCGGGATGCGGAATTCTCGTGAAAAAGGAGCAAGAATGTGGGATGAAGACGTCCCTGCTTACCAGACCCTATTAGTAGTTTGACCTGGACCTTCTATTGGCTAATTTCATTATAACATGAAGGTGATCCAGAATGGACAAAGTGCACCTTAACATGCGGAGGAGGTATGCAGACAAACGTCGACAACAGTAGTATTGTACGAACGTGCAATACCATGTCATGTCCAGGTAAATATGCATATACTGTTAGTGAACTTTATAAAAGTGATGCTGGCAATGATCTTAGCAACCAATACAGTTAAGCAACCAATACGTTTGGTGCGCGCAGAAACATGAGCAAGGCTCACACGTTAAAGAAAGCATAACTATGGTAAAATTCTCGGCTTAGCCAAATAGGAGTTGTAAAGAAACCACGCGAGGGTATGAACAAAAAGGTTATTGTAGTAAAGTAAACGAAAGCTTCAACAATCCAGTTTCTACCTTATGATTACTTATGACGGTCCTTGTGGCCACCTCATAGACTGGACAAGATCAAGCATACTAGCCTCTGTCCTCTCTGTCCTCTAAACCTGGGAGCCGTTTCGACTCTACACATTCTATATATTCCTTTACACTTGTAATTCGTACCTGAATACAGCTAAGAAGTATAGTTGCACTTTTATTTTAAACTGGTTGCAGGAGATGCAGGTTGCCTTTCGGCTTACCTGAGCTTCGAGCACGTCTACAACAATATTGTTTATGACGAATCTCACAACGGCAATGCTGGGACTATGAACGGTTGCGCGCGCATCGTAAATAACGGCAGATTCGGAAAGGGACTTCAACTAAGCAAAGACGGTAATGTGACATTTGATGTGGAACGTTTTCACAATCGTCCAACGGACGCCATTACGGTATCTCTGTGGCTTAATTTATCGCAGATCAATGGATCGCATGAATTGTTCTTTGCTTGTGGCATGCCTGAACTTTACAATATGGGTGACTACCACTTTGCCATTGACAACGGAAGAGTTCGATGGTTTGAAGAACTGCCAGGAGACAACATGCGATTCAATATTTCCTCAAGTAAGCAAACTTTAGGCACTGTTTTTTTTAACAAGCAAAAACTTAGATTGTTTTGGTTAAGCAGTAACAAGAGAAAATTAAACGCTAGTAAAGGAGCCTATTCATGCTGAACATAACCACAAAGGAGGAAAACCAGACGTTTCGAGGGTGCTTCTTCTTCTTTATTGGTTTAGAGGATGCATGAAGTTGCCTTTAAACCGCTGAAGAAGAGGGAGAACCCTCGAAACGTCTGCTTTTCCTCCCATTTTTTAACGCGCAACGTGGAAAACTTTGTCATTCTCACGATGAATTGCATTGAGCTAATTCTTATATTTTTTGTAACAAATAATCATAAGCTTTCAAGGGATTATACGTAACCTCGCCGAAGTGATTCTCAACCAGTGTAAGTTTTTGGGGGGGTTTTGGCACTCACGATGTAGGTTGTTATAATGCCCTATATTGTTGACTACTGAGGCTCTTATCAAAACGGTCATATTTGCTAGTCTGTTGGTAACGAAAAACGAAAAACGAAAAATTAAACATTTTCTATTTCAGATGGAGCAATTCTAAGCAATAACTGGTACCACATTGCTGGAAGCTATCGTAAGTCAAACGGCAGGGCTCGACTATATATTAACGGACGTCTAGCAAATGAACTAATACTTGCTACGCCCCTAAAAAGGACAGTGGTTCCTGTTCCCAATAACTCCATGCAAGCGCAGTGGAAGTGTGCCAGTCTTGGGGCTTCAAGGGAAGAAAGACCCTTGCAAGGCATTATAGATGAATTTCGTATATTCAAATGTGAGCTTCTACCTGAGGAAATCATGGATTTGTACAGCAAGAACTCTGTAAAGAGATTCAAAATCCCTCTGCGGCCTAGACATAAACTACCATGGAATTTTTTGACGCAAGAAAAAAACTGAACGAACTTTGAGGGATTGAGAAAATACTATGCGGAAAAATTTGAATTTGTCGTCTGTCGTAGTTAACCATTATTATTTCCAAATTTGCTCAAAACCCAATCAATCCCTGTCAGTTTATCATACCGTTTATCTGATGGTGATGATACCAATGCACACTCAGGGAGGTACGCCCTATAATGGCCTATACAGGGAGGCTCCGCCCGAAATGGGTAGCTTTTTCAGGCTTCAGGTATATGAAAAGATAGGTATTTCACTAGTTGAAGTATATGAAAGGAGATGGAAATCTGTCATTTGGATCTGTCAAAAGGGCTAACAGGTGCATTTTATGGCTGTGAAAGAGTCGAGAAAACGTTTTGGTTTTGTGGTTTCTTCATATTTAAAAGAAAGTGCATTTAAAGCAGTTGAAAGGGATGTAAAGTTTTAAACCAGGTATTGAATGCGCTGCCGGCTGCAACGCAAGTTACCGTCACCGGTATCGTTTCATAAGCTCCATCAGACAAGAGCGTAGCAAGGATGTTTCTTATCTTGCCCTTATTCGTCTACTGAGGTGAAAATAACTCGGCGTTCATGCTTTATACATCCAGCTTGTTGCTGTGCTGTGATTAGGGAGCTTTAGCAACAACGTTTTTGATCGACGCACAGCAACCGGAAGTGGCCTTTTTGCAATCTTGGTGCGTAATTTTGACCAAATTTTCAGGCAAATCGTCTCTATGAGAGTAAAGGCACTTGAGAATACAAATTCGGTAGCTTCAAGGCATGTTAAAAGGGAAAATGCTTCAACTCCGGTCGAGGTGCATCGCTGAAAACCGTTTATTTGCTTAAGCTCCCCATTTATTTTTTTATGTCGGTCCACCATCCCGCGGGGTGCGGAAAAGAAGTTCGTTGTTTTAGAAAAAATACTTTAAATAAAGAAGCGAAGGAGAGTTATTAAATGTGTTTGCTTTTTTATCATTCGCTTTTTATTCTATATGATTTTTATTTCCTCGACTTTTTCTGTTATGTTTCGTGCGTACCGTGTGTGCCATGCGTGCTGTTCCAGACTGAGGGGCGGTATTTTCACTTTACCCCTTCCCATGAGTCTCCGCGCGCCTCAACTTAACCCCAAACTTCTCTCATCCAAAAGCACATAAATAGCGACTGGGTATAAGTCTGCTCCTGTGCTAGCCAGAACACCCATAATAATTTTTTTTCGCCAAAGTATTAAAAAAAAACAATTCTCCCTCACATATACTCTGACAGTCCACCGCGATGAATTTCACACCCAAACTCGATAGGATACCATTTTTATTCACTAGCAAAGTTATTTTTGTGTGTGAAAAAATCAATGGCGTTGCATGATTTTCGTTTTCTTAGCATTTTTAACGTTCTTATCAATGGATGTTTTCTCCTCTTTTGTTGCAAAAGTTGAACGTGAGCATTAGTACCTTCTAGGCTCTTCAATATAAAATTAGTTTTACATTGTAATCCTAGTAAAAATTAATTGACTGAGAATAATAAACCTGGCAAAGAATTATGAACTGAGCGAAGGCAAAGTTGAACAATTTTGGCCAATTGCTTGATTAAAGTGAGTGAAAACTTGTCTATTATGCCATGGTCGACTGAGAAATATGTTACTGAGAACTCTGTAATCGTTTCAGAAAGTGTATTTTCTTTGAACTAGCTAGAATGATCTAGAATGATGATAGCAGGACCTTGTTGTATATTTCATTATTCTTATCTTCATGTTCATCAGACTGATCAGAGCCGTAGAAATTTGACAGGTGTGGTTTTATTCGCTGAAAACTATAGTTTAGAGTAACTGTTTTCGATGAATTAATTCGTTAAAAAGTGCCTTAAATATTCACAAAAACCATCACCTGTGTTTCCTACTGTCTGACTCTAACAAAACTTCTCTCATTCAAAGTGAAGCACGCTCATAATGTTTTAAAATGAGTTAAATTTCAGACCTCCCATGGACATTGGCCCTAATATGAGCTAACTGGGCTCTGACTGAGCAAGTTTTCGTTTCTTTTTATTGAACGGTTTCCTAACTAACTCAACGATCAGATTCTCTGGAAACGGCTTAGACTACTGCTAGTGTAACAGGCCATTTGCATGATGGCGTCATTTTACTATTACGACCTGCAGAGTCCTTCGGGTTTTTCCTTTCTTGTGCAAATTATCGCCTTTGTTATTTAAACCTCGCTGGGATTACCAAATTTAAATATGAAAGGAAAAACGAAATGAATTCTGGTCGTAGTAGTAAAATGACGCCATCGTGCAAATGACCTATTGCCATGCCACTGAAGTACAAAAAATATACATACAAGCTGTCCCTCTACAGACCGCACAGGATTCTTGAATGTGAGTTATTTAATCGTGAGGAGTGAGATGCTTTTGTCTGATATCGTTTATCAGTTTTCGAAGTCTTTAATTTGAATTACGTGGAAAATCAGTGACCTTACTAGCGTTACTACCGTAATGTGAAACGTGAAAGTTTATATTACAAGTTGAAGTCCCATTTAGTGGACTATCGATGGGTGGGAGGGTTTGAGGTCTCTCCTTGGTAAAAGGGAAGCTTAGGTGCATGTTGTTATCATTTGCTTTCCAAAATGAGTGTATAGAGTCACCTGGGACGGTTCAGAGAATTTTTTCCTTTTTTTTTTCTTCTCTAAAGGGCGTGTGCTGGGATACACGTTTAACACAGAATTATCGTGCTTTGTTTTCGCTAGGGATGCAATGAGAACATTCATCCAGTCGCCTTATTCTATCCTTTGTGTCAACCCATGACTAGCCAAAAAGGAATTCCTTTGCGAGAAATTATAGTTATCGGAAATTACTACAATGCGGTCCATCTGGAAAACAATGCGTCCTTAGGGATTCACACAACTATAGAAAGTTCCGGGCAATATTTGCTTCTCCGAACAGATGTTTTACAGGAACAGTCTTTGGGTGCCCCTGATATAACTATGAGTTCCGGGCTCAAGACTACTGAGTATAACAGTGAGCCTCCAATGGTAACATGGCGGCTTTTCGATTGGTTTGTCGTTTAGAGAAAAACACTCTTATTTTTGAGATGAAAGAAGAATACGTGTGATGGAGCCTGCTCATTGTGGACAGAGAAGAAGTTTGTGCGTCCAAAGAGACACGCGCGAAGCAAGTATGATTTGAGCGTCTTTTAAGAAATTTGTGCGTCTGAGACGCGTTTTTCTTGTTTTAAGCTTCCAGTTGACTTGGCGTAACGTACGAATCTGTATTACGACAACTTAGAACATAGGTTCTCCCGGCAGTTCTGTTAATATTCCGCATTAATTCACTTCAAAGTTGATGAGGATTTGAACTGAACCGATATCAAGTGCCTGAAGGGCCTTACTGTATTTTGTACCGTAAAGTGGGTTTAACTCGATGGCAAATACAGGAGGCTAGCATAGTAAATCACATTTTAAGTTTTAAAGCGCCTGATTTTCCTCATGGCCCTGAACGTTTGGAACGTTTACACGCAAACATTTTAAAACAACTTAATCATATTCAGAATATAACTTTCTTCTTTGTTTATTCTGTTTTGTTACCTTAGACAAATTAAACCCGGCAATATATTACCACTTCTGACTTACCTAGGCACCGTGACAATCTGTTTTAATTCTTTGCGGCAGCAATTTTAAGACGTGTTGATCTTTATAAGTTTCACTCAAATAGAAAATTCGACTAAGTTTTTCTTATCACTGCCCGCCTTCTGTAACGAGAATAGAAAAAAATCTTTATTCAAACATTTAAATTCAGTTTTTAAGAAAAGCTAAAGAAAATTCACGTCCACGCTGCTTCTTAAGCAGCATTTTTTGGAATAAAATATATGTGGTATCCTATATTCATTTCAGGTTTGATGAGAAGCTCCACTCGTGCGAACTTTATCAAGAAGGGTAATGAGGAGCCTCTTGAGTGCGTTATATAGATGGAATTTATATATTTTTTTGCATGATGTGGACAAAGTTTTGGCGAAGAAGCATTTTCGATTAGTTACTACGTTTGGTGGTACAAGGTATCTTTGGGTCGTACCTAAATGCCTGAGCTCCTAAGCCTCCTGAAACAGCATGACCGAGCGCGTAGCGCAAGGGTAATTAGTTTTAAGAAGGCCCGCAAGGGCGGGGCATTATCCTATTTAATGCACCTTTCTATTGTTAGAACCAGCGGGTCATTATTGTGGCCACGGAAGTGGAAATTGGGTAATTATTCGTGATAATTACCTCTTGATCCACCTCAATGACCTGTCGTTCCATTTATTGAAAGTAATAACCTGTTCAAAACAATGGAAAGGCGTTTTAAAAGTGCATAAGTTGACTTATTCCTTGCGGCAATCTTAAAAGTGTGTATGCATGTTCACGTCACGGAACTACCCTTAGTGCTAAACTACATTAAAGTCGCATTCCAGGCCCAGAAGACTAGCTACTGGCCGCTGATCAATGAATGAGAGGTGGAATTTCTTCTTCAAAGGTTTTTTATGGTTATCCTGTTACGATATGTGATGTGTGCTACTGAGTTTTTGAAGTAACTTCAACGATTTGTAGCAAACCCTTTTACAATGAGCTGGATTACACTTAAAGTTCGGTCAACGAAAAGAATAATTACGATAACAAATAATTCTTACAATGATGACAGTTTACTTTCATTTTGCTTCCTCCTCATGACATCGATAAGTAATTATTAACGTCACTGTGTTATCTTAACTAACATTCACTACTACTTAACGAAGATTAATTTTTTTGTGCCTAAACCAAAAGTGAACCAATTTTTTAACTTCGTTGACGGCTTTCATAAATTCATGCCTCGGGCAATCTTTTATTTGGAATTTTAAGAGTTTTGTGAAGCTGACTCAACTGAATTTTTGGGCCAAGATTTATGTACTTTTCAACATACTCATCATCTGCTGACTATAGTAAGAGATTCGGCGAATTATATCTATCTGCCAAGACCGGAAGCGGGCTCTCAGAAAGCAAACTTTTTATTGTACTCTAAAAAGCACAATA